CAGCTGAAATGTTGTGTTTCAGAAACAATATTTAGAAAATCAAGCAACAGACCAACACTGAACAGTTAAACACTTACCTGTTTTGAACAGACACTTGAAATATAACATTAATTTCTTCCAGGGGAGGATGGTTTAGCAAGCTTTCCCTCACCATTTAAAAGTGATGTGTCCTGTCATCACCTCTTGAATGAAAACTGACCTCTCCTCACCCCATTTCCATTATCTTAAATTCTGTAAGATGAAAGGCTTGCCATTTCAATTCAATTCACACGATGGAACAATGCTCTGCATGAAAATAAACCAAAGAGCATTCCAACTCTTCACCGGAGGGTGTAAATGTGTTCCTACCTTGCTGGTTACAATGAGTTTAGGAACTGAGTTCTATGTGATTGACAGCAGCTGATTATTTCCAGTGCTGGCTTTCTGCTGTTGAGAAGAGTGAGCGAAAAGGATTCCTTTTGAATCGTATCTTGCAAGAGAAGGCATATTGATGCACTTTAATCAAGATGAAGTTTGCCATTTTGCAGTTCTTTTCAGAACTTTAAGTTACAGAAAGAAAACTACTTAACTAGGTATTTACCCGCAGTTCAATGCAGAGCATCAAAGGGCAGCTCTAATGGATTTGGCACTCTTTCCATCCATATTTTCCTAAACATGAGGCTAGCACCCTAATCAAAAGTGAATTAGTATCAGTAGTAAGGGCAGCATCATAACCATTACTCACAACACTTCTGCCTAACTTATAGGTACTCTTTTGGCAATACAATCCATAAGACAATTAAACCAATGTGCTTTAAATCTGCAAGAGTCACGAAGAGCAAAATTGTTAAAACAAGCTTAAGCTGCATTACATACTGCTGTAACTTTTAAGATTTGCCTAATTGAATCCATTTCTTCTGTTTAAGAATCTACGTTTCCCTATACATAGTGACGTTGTTCAGGATATTATGTGCAAAGCTGATTTGGTTGTGCACTTCCTCTAGCTCCAGCACAACTGGAGATCAGAAATACTTTCTTTAGCTTTCAATTGTCATTTGTATCCTTATTTAAACATATTGTGGTAAGTTATACAGTGGAAAAAGTAGTTTATTAAAGCATTTCCAATCTAAATAATAGTTAAGGTGGATATACCTTAATCAAGTCAGGTTAGGAAAAAAATTCCTTAGCCCTGGAGATCTGCTTCAAGTCAATGTAGAAAATGAGTTTAATGAGTTTAATTCAACTTACTAAGTCCATTATTAATGCAATTGGCACTTCATTTTCAAGTATATCTCATGTTACAGCTTTGCTGGTTTTGAATGCAACTTTTCACATGTTTGTTGCTTAAAACCAGGCACAGGCAAAATATTCCATGCTGAGAAATTTGGAAATATTCCATTCTTCCTCTGCCCCACACCAATTTGACCATGTTCTGGGTAGTCCACCAGGTTTTCAGAAGTTAATCTTACAGAAAAAGAAGTGGTTTGTGTTGTTCTGGACATTAAATATTCTTCCATACCTTCCCAAGGTTATAAAGATGAAGACAGAAACATTTGTAAAGCAGTAGACCATTCTGGAAATGCTTTGGCTACACTGAATCTAGAGCATGTCTGTTCTTCTCTAGAGCTGTGCTCAGAAGACAGAAAATGTTCTGCAAGTATGTAGAAAACTCCAGCAAATAAAGGCTAATGGACTTTGTTGCTCCTGGGGTGTCATGAACTAAGTTCCCTTCTCCCAATCCCCAAAGCAGTTGTGCACTAAAAAAGGCACAAGCAACTGGGGGGTGGGGTGGGGTGGGGGGACCCAGACAAATATAGTTTATTTTAGAAACAGAAAAAAAATGAGCACCTGCTTGAAACACATGGAAATGGAACCACTGGGACTCAAGAGGAACTGTGAAAGCATTTGATTCACTGATGTTTCCGTGCATTATTCGAATTGCAAAGGTGGGAGAACTCACTTCATGGCAAAAATCCGTATTATGTGTCACCTTCAGGGACATCTGCAGGAGGTGGTCAAAAAAGTCAAGATAGTGGCCATGACCCTACAGTTGCCATCTTGAGTTTTTTTACACTCTCCCCTCAACACCTCTGTTTGTCTTTTACCTGATCTGGCTATTTTTCAAGTATGAAAATGCAGCACCATTGATGGATACAAGAGATTTTTCCTTCAAACTTTGCTCAACACTGAATGATTTTACTAAAAAATGCAGCTTGTAGCAATTTGGGAAAGCAAGCCTTATTTGACTGTCATGCTACAGAGCCAAGGTGATATTTATTGCTCTCAGAGGAATCTCGGATTAAGCTGGAAGGCCTTACAACTAAGTATGCTCAAGTGAAGCATAAGATCCTTCTCAGTGATCCAGCACAACAGCTCCTTCTATTTAGAAATAGTAATTTAACAACTAATGAAAATCAATGTATCTGAAGTTATTAAACATCCCTCTTTATTCAGCTACAACTCTTAGGAAAGATTAAGAGAGCTAAAAACTCTTAGTGGAGGCCTCTACAAAAAAATTAAATAAAGCTTGAAATGGAAAAATAGAGAAGCTTGTGCATATAGGTATATATAAACTTTTCAGAATTATGTGTGCTAAATATTTCAGATACCATCCTGCGTGAAAAGAGACTTAGTTTAAAGGCTTGAATCAAAGGCAATGTGCACCCGGGGTTCACAACATAACCATTTTCCACAACACAAAAAACGTTCAAAAGATTTAGTATTATAAATATATTGTCTTTTTCACAAAGCCCCTCCATTGGAAAATAAAGTTTGGTATTGTTGGTTTGGAAGTATGTGTTTTCTTATCATACAAATAGTTTCATACAAATTCAGGCTCCCTAAATAAGGCACAGTGCTGTGTGTTTAAGTCAGAACAGATCTTGCCTCCATGCCTTCATGGGGATTATTATTCATTACAAAATAAAAGCAGCAGTACATTTTAAATTATAATGTTGAATCACAATAAAATTTAAAAAGGTGAGTCATACCTAAAAAAAAAAAAAAGTAATTTTCTACCACCCTCCCCCAAAAGGTATCCTCCGGCATATGCAGTTGCAGAAAGAGCAGAACTGCAGTTCTGTTCAAGCCATTTATATGTGCACAATTAGCGGCTCATTTCTTGGAATTAGTTCAATTTATTTGTGAGGCGTATAAAAAACTACATTTGAGGGAAGAATTTGTGTCTGAAGTTTTATGGCACTGGTAAAACCAGCCAGGAACAGACAATTTGAAGCTAAGGCCCAGGGGCACAATTGGCTTTGAGTGGAACCTTTGAAGTCAATCAGATCTGGCTTATGAGCCCTTAGCACAGTTTTATAGAAGTGGTCAGGCATTCAAAACAGAAGAAACAGAAATAGAAGTGATATATAATATCTTACCATCCAAGCAAAGTCCTTGTCAGATGATGAAAAGTTCATATATCCATTCTGCTTTCTCCACAAGCTTAGGGTCTCTACAGAAGAATTTTTTAGCCATGACATTTTACAGACATTAGAAATGAAATATATTTTTCAATAAAAACATTTCACTGGGTATATTTGCAAAAAATACTTTGTCCATAGATAAAATATTTGTCCATAGATGAAATAGCGATTGGCACTGGAGACAAAAGTTGGAGTGGAGTATTAGTGTAAACTATCAGTGTTAATCAAGGCAATGAGGAAGGGAAAAGTAATCTGCACTAAAAAAATAAAAGGGGATTGGTATCATTCAGACTCCGATAAGGCACACGGTCTTCGAAACTCTTGTCCACGCTCATGGATCCATTTATTGGAGACTATAAAAAAGAAGAAAAGGATACATATATTAGTTCATTAAATTTCCATCCTGTCTTTCCTTCAGAAGCTCAAGGCCGTGTATAGAGCATTAATTCCTCCAATTTTTCCCTACAACATCCAGTCAAAAAGGTAGGTTGGGCTGAAAGACAGCGACTGACCCAAAGTTAGCTAGTGAGCTTTCATGGTTGAGAGTGGACATTAACCTGGTTCTCCCCAGTTCTAGTCCAAAACCATAACCATTTCACCATACTGGTAATTCACACCTGGTTATATTTAATGAACAATCTAACTATAAGTGTCATGATAAATCGTATCATACAGTACTTATTACTGGGATGAAGAGAATTAGGGTGCTATGTTCTGGCCACATCCTAGGTGTCATACTATTTTTCTAGTTAGAAATAGGTTCTGGTCTTGGATGGGGGATTCCCAACCTCCAAACCAGACACTGCTAGGAAGAAGAGGCCCTCAGCATGACGGATCGTACGTCACTCTCTACCCATTTCCACTCAGCCCATGTCATAAGGTGTGGACTAAACAACTTCTCTTCACTCCTTGCAATGGGAGAAAGCAAAATAAAAAAAAAAACATGCGAGCACGTTTCCATTCTGATTCCCCCTTACAAAGAGTTTAATAAGTCCTACTTGGGACATTCAAGGATGTTCCATATAAGATTTAAAATGTGGCTACTAAAATCTTATCTTTCAAATTTCACACATACCCCATTTGTTTCCAACTAATACTGGACATGCGGCGTGCCTGGTGCTGTAGTCTCCTTCACCACTTGGAAAAAGATTGTACCAAAATACCGCCGTTCCCTGGTAAAACACAAAGTAGCAGCACCTCATTTTGTGGTTAACTTCTGAAAAATGCAAGATTAAAGGGGGCATACAAAAAGTAACTACTCCCCAAGTGGCCGAAAGGATGTGGCAAAGCACCATCCATCACTCCCTACCTTCGTTTCTAGTATTCCTCAAATGCTACATTTTAGGGGATGTGCAAAACACAGAGTCCTCAGTGAACTAGGTTAATTGGGACCAGAATTTCCATCACTAAGTGATGAGGTCGTAAAGTGCGACGTCATGTGATTACATCACTTAGCAATGGCAATCCCGGCACTCCCCACTGTCATCATTAATCAAATCCCACCCAGTCATCAGGCTAGGACCCACCCTGATTCAAGCCATTCCTGGCTTGGTCCCTCCCAGCCCTAAGCCTTGGTAAGGTAAGGGATGCCTCCCCTTCAACTCCCTCCACCTGCCTATCTCCCCCCGCATCTCTGCCCTTTTGGCCACCCTGCACTAGGCTGCCTCTGCCAGCCCTGCTATCCCCTGCTGACCTTCACTATCTTCTTCCTCCTGCTGCCGACAAGGCGCACCCAGCATGGCCCTTCTTGAGGCAGCTGCTGGCCATGCCAGGCCTTCTTCCCAAGGACACGTGCAACTTTGTCCAAATTGTGCATGGCTTTCTTATGAAGCTTTGGAATCAGAGCACAGGGCAGCAGGGCTGACAGAGGTGATGGAGTGCAGGGCAGTCACAGCAGAGATGGGGGGGAGATAGGCGGATGGGGGAGTTGAAGTGCCCTTGCAGTCATAAATGTGGGTGGGCTGCCAAATGCCCGAATTTTAATTATGTGACCGTGGGGGTACTGCAACGGCCATAATTTTGGGGACTGGGCATAACTACCATTCATTCAGTGCCACCATAACATCCAACAGTCACTGAACAAATGGTTGTTAAGCAAGGACTACCTGTATCTCATTTCAAATGATTTCAAGTGTGAATTTTCACAAAAGGATCCATCTCAAGCACAAAATGCTCAAAGCAACTCAAAATAAAAGGCTGATGAAATTTCACCCATGAAATGGTTCGAAACAAAATGGTTTGCACATTCTGACTACATTCCTCTCATCCCAGTTTAAACAGCTGGCATTAGTTCACTTTCAATTTTATTAAAAGTGATGACAGTCCCAAATCCTTTAATATGAAAATTCTAGGGCTCATTAAGACTCTTTTCTCTTATATTTCATAAGCCCCAGGACTGTTGCGTCAAAGCCTGCAACAGAAGAAAGAAAAGAACACATGTGGAGTAACTATTCACATGTACCTCTAAATAGCTTCCTATTCTTTTTTAATGGAAAACATGTAATGGCTTTCATTATTCAGAGGAATCTGAGACTGCTTCTACATACCTGCCTTGAAAGTCCAATTTCATACCTTACAACTGTGGCCCTGTGGATTTCTTATACTGTAACTATGCTCAAGCTCAAGGCAGGAACTTAAATCAACCCTGGCAAATGGCTGTCTAAACCTCCACCTGAACCAGGCCTCCCAAGTAAAGGGGAGCCCACCACGTCTTAGATTAATTCAAAGAAGCTAACTGTAGCTGAAAGACTGATTAAGCACCAGGCTCAGAGAAAAGAGAAAGCAAATGGGCCGGCCGTGACTGGTACTACAGACTGCCAACACCAAAGGTGAAGGCTCAGAAAACAGGAGCTGTTACAACTGCTTCCTGACCTGGCAACTCAAGCAGTTGATACAGCTTCAGATGTTATCAGAAGAAGGCACAAAGAATCCCGAAGGGCCAATGTATGATAAGAAAAACACAGTGGCATTAATAAGGAGGCCTAATAACCTGCAGCTGTCCTATATTTCCTCTAAAAGTATTACTTCCAAAACTCAACTCTTTCTGTATTGATTGTTAGCAAAAAGGAAAAGACACCACAACCTTTATGAGGTAAGTGGATAGAATAGTCAGGGATGGTGACCTTACGTGCACATCTTCTGCTTACCTTCTTTGGCCAAACACTAGCTCCGACTTCAGGGAATACGGTTGCTCCTCCTGCTGCCACATCACTCATCTGAAAAGGAGAAAGAGCGACTATCCATTGACAACTCTCTTTTAACCATAATCGAAAAGTAATCCCAGAGATTCCACTAATGATCTGGTAAACAAGAAGGCAGAGTTTTGGTGGCACCAAATTAATTATGCTAATTGAAAGAAAACAATATTCAAGGATGGCAAAAGGCTCCAAAAGTTCTTTACTTGGGAAGATGGCAAATACAGTTCAGTATCCACAGGAGTACATATATACTGACCATATGTATGCTGATGGAAACTGTTTTGTTGGGTTATGGACCAAGGGAAAAGCCTTTGAGATTGTGGTGGAAAACTCAAAGAACATGTTTGTTCTATGGACATTTACTCTGAAAAAGACAAATTCCATATTGGGAAAATAAAAATAAAACCACCAACATCTCAACGTTGTTGTAAAGCTTACTATATAACTTGATTTGGTGTATTTTGTGCTTTTGTGATTGCCATAAAAATATTGTAAGACCAGAAAAAGAGCAGAAAATGATAACCAAAGTAATGTATTATCTGAAATAACATCATGATGAGGAAAAAGTGAACAAAAAGGGACATGACCGTTATAAAGAAAGTCAATCAAGAGATTTTTTCCCCCATTTTCTCAAATCTAGAACTGAGATCTTCCAATGAAGCTGAATGATAGGAGATTTAGGACAGGCTAAAGGAAGTGCACATGAGACTATCAATGGCCCCTTCTTATGAATACCTCCAATATCAGAGCCAATATGACTTTCAATACCTACTTGCTGAAAAAAAAATAGAGGAGGAAATCTGTTGCTCATGCCTCCTTGATGGGTTTCCCAGAACCGTTTGGCTGGCCATCATGATAACAGAACAATGGCTTAGTCCACAGCACAATGGTAAATCAAATGTTTTGCATGTAGAAAGTTCTAAATCTTCAATTAAGTTAAAATTGAAGTACTGTACTGTGGAAAGTGCAGCTATCTGCTTGACAGACTTCAGAGAAGTGCTATCATTTAGAGTTGACAGCCTTAATTAAACGTGCCAATGCTCTGACTCAGGATATGCCTACCAACATGGTCTGGTACACATAGCGTAGGATGGGATGACCTTTGATTTGATCAAGTGCACCTATTATGTTCTTACAGGATATTTACAATAAGGGATATCTTACTAGGGACACAGTTTTTAAAAAATCAGTCCATTCCATTCACCTGTAAAAATGTAACTCAACCAACTATAACTAAAAAGTATAGACCGATCTCTTTGTTAAATAACGATTATAAACTCTTCACATCAATACTAGCAGAGAGATTGAAAAAGATTTTATCAGACTTTATACATGAAGATCAGTGTGGCTTCCTACCTAAAAGACAACTGAGAGATAATGTAAGAATTGTTCTAGATATAATATTTACAACATCATAATGAAAAGCAAGCAGCACTGATCTTTTTGGATGCAGAGAAAGCTTTTGATAATTTGAACTGGTCATTCCTGTTTAAAGTTTAGGAAGATATGGACTTTGGGGAGAATTTTCTGCAAGGGATTAAATCGATATACCCTTCCCCAAAGGCAAGTATTATTGTTAATGATGAATTTACAAACCATGTGATATACAAAAGGGGACATGACAGGGTTGTCCCCTGTCACCTCTACTCTTTATTTTAGTCTTGGAAGTGTTAAACAGAGATATTAGACAAGATGCGAATATTAAGCGTTTACAAATCAAAAAAGAAGTCTTTAAATTAAGAGCTTTTGTAGATGATTTAGTTTTGATTCTACAGGAATCTCAAAATGGAATTGAATGTTTAATGAAGAAATTGAAAGATTTTGGTGCACTTGCTGGATTTAAGGTAAATAGACAAAAAACAACGATGTTGGTTAAGAATATGACTATGAATGATCAAGAAATATTGATGAAGTCCGGTTTTAAAATTGAAAAAAAGATTAAGTATTTGGGAGTTACATTGACCAATATGAATTGTATGCTATATCAAAATAGTTATGTTAAAGTCTGGAATGGTATTTAAAAGGACCTATTAAGATGGTGGAAGCTCCAACTGTCACTGTTAGGTAGAATCTCAATAATTAAAATGAATGTTTTACCTAGAATGCTTTTTCTTTTTCAGACAATACTGATATTGACAAATGATGTACCATTTAAACAACAGCCGAAAGATATTTCTAAATTTGTGTGGCAAGATAAAAAACCAAGAATAAAATATAAACTTTTACAGGATGCCAAAGAAAGAGGTGGGCTAGGTCTTCCAGATTTAAAGTTATACTTTCATGCTTGTTGTCTAGTATGGATGAAAGAATGGATGACTTTACAAAACAAGAGGTTATTGGAATTAGAAGGACATGAGTGAAGATTTGGATGGCATGGATATTTATGATATGATAAAGTGAAAGTTAACATTGATTTTAAGAATCATTTTATCAGATGCTCTGTATTGAGAATTTGGAATAAATATAAGGTAAGACTGTTTCCAAAAATTCCTCTATAACTGTCACCTCAAGAAGCTTTCTACAGAAGAGAAATGATGGTTAAGCAACCATGGTTGATGTATGCAACTCTCTTATCGTTTTCTGAAGGAGGGCCTAACCTGAAGAGAAGAATTAGAATTGGAAGGTTTTGTTTGCCAATGGTTTACGTATGCACAGTTGCTGGAAAGATTTAAATTAGATAAGAACAATTATGAATTTACCACTGAGAAAACTGAGTTTGAATATGCTTTGTGTACTTACTGCTAAAATGTACAAACCTCTGTTAAAGATGAATTTGGAAGATGAATATGTTAAAGATTGTATCGTTAAATGGGCAAAAAACTTTGGATATAATATAATGTTAGACCAGTGGGAAAATATGTGGAACCAAGGGTTAAAGTTTACTCTTGATTATAGGTTAAAAGAAAATGTTTATAAAATGATGTACCGTTGGCATTTGACACCAGATAAATTGTCAAAGATGTATAAAGGTATCTCAAATGTCTGTTGGAAATGTAATACTTGTGAAGGCACATTCTATCACTTATGGCAGACTTGTGAAAAGGCTAAGAAATATTGGAATGATATGCACTTTGATTCAAAAGATTTTGAAAACAGATTTGCAACTGAAACCAGAGACTTTTCTTTTAGGTATGATGGATAAACAAGTGGAAAGACAACATCAAAATGTATTTCTTCATATGATAACTGCGGTGAGACAATGTGCAAAAATTGAAAGATATACAAATACCTACTGCTGAAGAATGGACACTGAAATTAATGGAATTGGCTGAGATGGCGAAACATACTGCTTTGCTCAAAGACAGGGCACTGTCTAACTTTGTCTCTGATTGGAAACCACTCTTAGACTTTTTGCTTAATACTCAAAAAAATGCAACTCTGATTTTGGGATTTGCTGATTGATGTTATAGAAATACCTCGTACACATTATATGTATTATTCAAATAGATTAACTTTAGGAATCTTTCTGAATATTAGATTAAAAACTATTTTTTACTATGTAAATTTTTAGATATTAGAGTAAG